AGTTTGGGTCATCCCAAGCAGCACACCAGGAAGAAGTCCAAAGGTGAAAGAGGCTTGCAGACCTGCTCTACAAGCATAGGCTTCAATAAAAAAACAAAACCAAAAAACAAACAAACCACAACCTAGCTGGTTTTGTTGATATCCTCAGAGGGCTTCCTACTCCACAAGAGGGACCAGACTTTCCTGAGAATTCCAATTCCTTCCTTGAGGTTAAAGTAAACTTACATGAGCTGCAAAGCAAAGTCCAAATTGTCCCTTTGGCACGTAATAACTGGATCAATTCCTTGAACTGTGAAAGGGGCAGAATTTCCATCCTCTCTTCACTGGGAGGGAGAGAGTCCCTTTTCCGAGCTCCATGGCCACCTCTCAAGGACTTTTATCACAGTCTAGCAGATATAACTACAGGTTTAAGAGACAACTGCATTACTGCTGCAACCTGCTGAAGCTGCATAGCCAGGGAAGGCCTCCTGGGGCAGCCAGGAAGCCACGCTACTGGGATTTATTATTTACTGGGGGGGGTGACAGAGCACTGGAACAGGCCTCCCAAAGAGGCTGTGGAGTCTCCTTCTCCAGATATACTCAAAACCTGCCTGGACATAGAATAATAGAATTGGCTAGATTGGAAGGGACCTTTAAGATCATCTAGCCCAACTGTCAACCTAACTCTGATATATAAAAAAAACAAAACGAAAATGACAAAACAACAACAAAAAACCATGTCTCTAAGCACCATGTCAACCCATCTTTTGAACACCTCCAGGGATGGAGCCTCAACCCCTTCCCTGGGCAGCCCATTCCAAGGCTTCATAACCCTTTACATCTCAATATTTTTCCCTGGCAGCCCATTCCAAGGCTGAAGAACCCTTTTTAGTGTCAAAACTTTTTCTAATATCCAACCTGAACCTCCCCTGGTGCAACTTGAGGACATTTCCTCTTGTCCCATTGCCTGGGACTTGGGAGAAGAGACCGACCCCCCCTGGCTACACCCTCCTTTCAGGGAGTTGGAGAGAGCGAGAAGGTCTCCCCTCAGCCTCCTTTTCTCCAGGCTGAACACCCCCAGCTCCCTCAGCCTCTCCTCACAAGACTTGTGCTCCAGACCCCTCACCAGCTTGGTGGCTCTCCTCTGGACACGCTCCAGCACCTCAATGTCTTTTTTGTGGTGAGGGGCCCAAAACTGGACACAGCCCTTGAGGTGACGCCTCACCATCACCCCCCCTCTCCTACTCCCCACGCTGTTCCTGACACAGGCCAGGATGCTGGTGGCCTTCTTGGCCACCTGGGCACACTGGTGGTGCCTCTTCACCCGACAGGCCACCAACACCCCCAGGGCCTTTTCTGCCAGGCAGCTCCAGCCACTCTGCCCCCAGCCTGGAGCGCTGCAGGGGGTTGGTGGGACCCAAGGGCAGGATCTGGCACTTGGCCTTGTTGAACCTCATCCCATTGGCCTCAGCCCATCCATCCAGCCTGTCCAGATCCCTCTGTAGAGCCTTTCTGCCCTCCAGCAGGTCCACACTCCCACCCAACTTAGTGTCATTCGCAAATTTACTGAGGGTGCACTCGATCCCCTCATCTACATCATTGATAAAGATATAAAAGAGACCGGGTCCCAGTACCAAGCCCTGTGGGACACCACTGGTGACCGGCCGCCAACTGGATTTAACTCCATTCCCCACCACTCTCTGGGCCTGACCCTTCAGCCAGTTTTTAACTCAGTGGAGAGTCCTCCCATCCAAACCATGGGCAAGACATGTTCCTGCCTCTCTGGGCCTGACCCTTCAGCCAGTTTTTAGCTCAGTGGAGAGTCTTCCCATCCAAACCATGGGTAAGATGTGTTCCTGCTCAACCAGCTCTAGTTGAACTTGCTTCACCAAGGAGACTGGACTAGATCACGTCTGAAGGTCCCTTCCAACCCCAACCATTCTGAGAATTTGTGAAGAGGATTTTTCTTACCTTCGGTGTGCATGGGGGAGATGAAGGCCACTCAGCCTGCAAGGACACTTGACACTACCAAAACCTGTACCAAATAAGCACCCAACTAGACAAAGGTCTGCAGAGGCAACCCTTGGCTAAAGTGCTCCTCTCCTTCACCCTAAAACCCAATTACTCACTAGATGACCCAATGCACACTGTTTAGCAGTGGACAAGTTAGATCACATCTTCCCAAATACGAGGTAAGGGACCTCCCTAGAGCACAGAATGTCTTAAAGCTTTAATACACAAAAATTGCCATGGCACTCAGCTATAATAAAAGTTTGATGCCTACAATGGATCTGCTAAAAGCAAGCTCCTTTGGCTTGACTGGTCCTCTTACCCCCACTGTTTTGGTGGGGTTTTGGAGCTGCAGGGCTGGGGGGAAAGGGGGGGCAGGCATTGTTTGTTTGGTTTGGGTTTTTGTTTTTTTTTTTTAAATAAATATAGAAATCTGTTTTCAAAACCTACCAGCTTGGGCCTGTGATACACAGATAACTTCTCCCAGGCACTCCCATACAACTACAAAGACTAAATATTTGCTTTAAGAGCAGCTGTGCTCCTGGTGCAATCTCCTACTTCCAGAAAATATGATTCCAGGAAAAATATTAAGTTTCCTTAGTATTTTCACAAGGAAAGGACTAAGATTCACAATAAAAATCAAGCAGAGAAGCAGCAATATTAGAGAAGTTGAAGGCTGCTTCCAAAGTGAACATATCTTCAGCTGGAACTGTACCACCACTGAAATTGCTACCAAGTACTTGAAAAATGACTAGACTCCACAGGATACTGTTCATAGCAATGATAAAATACATCAGTAAGCATCAAAAAGCTTACTTCAGCACATGGTCTGTATCTACACACTGTAGTATTGCAAAGTGTGACACCTTATGACATTTCTGCTCCTTTCTTTGATGGGGCCTCTGCAGACAGAGAGGAGATGGACGTTCCAAAATTTCCCCTAAGAGGACATCCTGAGATAACAAATTTGTATGAGAATACCTCAAAAAGAGCAGCTTGCATATCTCTAATCTCAATTAAAGCTCCCTCCTTGTCCAAATTCAAATCCTAAAGTGAGAGTTACTTAGAATACTTATAAAGGGCAGATCTTTTAAAAAAATTAAGCAAACAGAGCATGACTGCAGCATAGCTGATTGCAAAGCAGTTAAGTGGTTAGAGAAGTAAGTCTGGAAAGACTTTTTCCAGTACTTGTAAAATCCTGCAAATATATTAGTCCAAGAGAGAGACAACAGGGCTAACCTCATGAATTTTTATGATGTCCCATGAAAACAAAGAAGATTAAGATGAGATTTCTGGAAATTCAAAAATCAACTGCCTGATTCACTTTTTATTTGTGGAAGTTAGTTTAAGAAAAAAAATCCTCCCTTTTCAGCCAGTAACCATTAATTTGGCATTTGTGAGTGCACTTCTAGGTGCTGCTTGGAAACTAAGCTTGTAAATATAGAAATGTTTCTCTAAAGGTTTCTCTAAATGCAACGAGGTGTATGCATGGTGTATTTAGCTTTTCGTTTACTCATCTACACATGTACACCCAGGAACCTTCTCAACTCCTCAGACCTAGTTATTCCTCCTACTGATATCCCTGTAAGGACACTGGAGTACACAGCAAAAACCAGAGACCAAAAGTCACAGCAACAACTGCTTGTACAATGCACTCAGGCCAACAACACACACTGCAGGGTGTGAACGCATCTGAACTCCAGCACTTATTTCAGCTGCACCTGGGGAGGAATAACCCCCTGCACCAGGACAGGTTGGGGGTGACCTGCTGGAGAGCAGCTCTGAGGAGAAAGACCTGGGAGTCCTGGTGGACACCAGGATGCCCATGAGCCAGCAATGGGCCCTTGTGGCCAAGAAGGCCAATGGCATCCTGGGGGACATCAGGAAGAGGGTGAGCAGCAGGTGGAGGGAGGTCATCCTGCCCCTCTGCTCTGCCCTGGGGAGGCCCCATCTGGAGCACTGGGAGCAGGTCTGGGCTCCCCAGTTCCAGAAGGACAGGGAACTGCTGGAGAGGGGACAGCAGAGGGTACAGAGATGATGAGGGGCCTGGAGCATCTCTCTGATGAGAAGAGCCTCAGGGACTTGGGTCTTTTTAGTCTGGAGAAGAGAAGGCTGAGGGTGGATCTGATCAATGCTTAGAAATCCTTAAAGGGAGGGTGTCAAGAGGATGGGGCTGGTCTTTTTTCAGTGGTGCCCAGGGACAGGACAAGAGGAAATGGGCACAAACTGGAATAGAAGAAGTTCCACCTAAACCTGAGGAGGAACTTCTTTGGGGTGAGGGTGGCAGAGCCCTGGCAGAGGCTGCCCAGGGAAGTGGTGGAGTCTCCTTCTCTGGAGACATTCAAACCCACCTGGAGATGTTCCTGTGCAACCTGCTCTGGGTGGCCCTGCTGTGGCAGGGGGGTTGGACTAGATGATCTCCAGAGGTCCCTTCCAACCCCATGTGATTCACGAGTCAAATTAGGAAGCCAGGGTCTTTCAGTTCTCAGGGTAATTAATGATAGGGACAGAGTCTCTTCCAGGTGTTTAAAACTCAGCTCCCACTCCAGTGTCATCAGCTCCCAGAATTTTATCGTGGGCCTCAAAAACGTTTCTGAACAGACCTCTTCATTTAAAGCTAACAGTAATGTCCCAGAGCCTGTGTTTCAGAAGAAAACTTCCACAAAATTGTGTGTACACATTTACCCCAAAGGCTCCAAGAAAAGAAAAGGAATTTATAATTGTAAAAAAATTTAAAACCTCATGGATTTTTTTGGTGAGGAGAGGAATGAGGGGCCTGACTCATTATTTCTTTTTTTTGTTATACTTGTGGCTGGCTCTACTGCATAAATAAATCAATCCCCTAGCCACACAGCTCCATTTTTCCAGTCACAGCTTGTTGTTTTATTTATTTTTTTCCCTCCATTGCCGACAAATCACTCCAGGGAGTTTTTAAACCCAGTAGTCTACTTTCCGAATGGAAACGGTTAGAATAATTTGCGAGAAAGCAAACAACAACAACAGAGACTTACCCCATTTTTTGGGTAGGCTATCCATCCTAGATCCCCCATCACTGTGCGTGAGTCCAGTAAATTCACTGAAAATAAGAGGAAAAAAAAAACTGTTAAGGAAGATGGATGGATTACAAACATCAGTAAATATTTCAAGGTTGGGGGGGGCTGGGGTAAACAAGCTGTTTATAATTAGCCAAGGAAGCTGGATTTTTGTAAAACAGAATAACAATGCAATAACTCCTCTGACAATGAGGTCATATGCCAAAAACAGTTCTGTATATGCATTACTTTATTCCTTTGAGATCTGCCACTGAAACCAAGTTGTAAACGTACTAAACTTCTGTAAGACCTAGATCACTCATGGTCGTAGGATCTGGTCTTTAGGGGGGAATAAATACATAATGCACACTCTGTGCTTCTGTATTTTCGCAAGACATACAGAATATAGGTACACACATACACTCACAAACATCTATGTGTGTTTACACACACACGTCTTCCAAGGTGGCTTATGTTTTTAGCATAATCAGGCCTTTAAGACAAACGTGAAGAAGAAATAACACGCAGAGTTTCCTGATTATCATTAATTCAAGTTTTAAAGGATTCTATGTGCAAGTACTACAGCGTTGCTGCTATCAGGAATCTATTATTTTCTCCCTCTGACAATCTCATTGTAAGATATCCAAGGGTCCTCCCCCCCACCAAAAAAAAAAAACCAAAACTGGGAGTAGCTTTAAGTCACATAAGCAATCAACAATTTACATTGAACAGCAAAAAGCTACTTCCAAGCTTATAACACTCTTCCCCCTCATATTACTTGAAACACAGAATAAAAAGTGTGAAGTAATTAAATCTACACACGCTTAACTCAGGTAAGAAAAATTATAGCAGCTTCTGGTGCTGAGCTTTCACCTCCTATAACCAAGGCTTTAAATCTCCAAGTTAAAAGCTCGGTTCTGAATCAACAGCTGCCATCCAAAAAATTTCAACCTAGGAGGAACTTTCTCCTGCTTTAAAAGCACACGATTTCCGTCTCTTTAGGTTCCAACACTCACTTCTCGCAGTATATTTGGCTGCTTAATACCACACTTTTATGCAATTACACTATTTACAGAGGCATAGTAAGAAAACCCAAAAGTACACCATACCTAAGGGCATACTCCTTTAAAAAATAAATAAGGATTAAACAGATTCAGTTTGAAAAAAACAAAGTTCTCCGAGTCAGTTTGGACTTAATCATTGCACTGTATTGAACGCTGACAAATGTAGTCCCTTGTACACAAAACCAGCCCAAAACACAAATATACAATGCTGAGGTAAGAAAAAAATAAAATCAAATCAGTTCTCAGCTATGGCATCAAATATTTATAAAAGATTTGTCTATCCAGGTATGTTCACAATGTATTAATGCAGCACACTATCATAAGGCACATAGATGTTCTGCCTGGTCGAGGATATTTTTGTGGTGTTGAGCAAAATCATTTGGTAGTTCAGAGTTTTCATGCCCAGATTGCTTTTCTCCTGCCAAAAGAGAAAACAGTTGGGAGCTGGCAACGCTACCCAACTACGGGACATTTGGTGGAAGCAATACTCAGAGACTACGCTGAACTCCATCCACAGTAAGTAAACATACAATTAGGCAGCTCTCCACCCCACAGCCTCATCAAAATAAAAGTATTGCTATCATCTACCATCAGAGATGTCAGGCAGTGATGGGCAGCCTTTCCCCTCCTGAAGTCTGCAGGTAGAATGCTCATTAAGGTCTCCTGCTCCAGCTGAAGTCAAGCACTAGTACCCAAGTGCTCCTGAACCACAATGCATTTTCTTTTTAATGGGATAAAAAAAGGTGATCTTAAAATATACTTAAAAAAAAAAGACACACACAAATAACATATTGCATATTATAGCTGTATACTATTTTAAAAAGCAAGAGAAGGGAGTGCAGTTGCCAAAATGGCAGGTTTACCCAAACTCCTTCTATTGCAGTCACTGTAATTAAACTGTGCAGAACAATATATTCCTGTCTTAAGTTGCAATAGATGCAAAACAAGTATTGATCTACGTTGTACAACTTAATTAAAACTTGTCCTGGAGATGCTACTAATGAATGTAATTAGATAGCGTGTTTGATGCCACAAACTTCTTCGTGACATCCTAATTAAGGAAAAAAAAAAAGCAGAAAAAGTGCTTTTATTCAAACATCAGAAAAAGAACATGATACAACTAAATATTGTATTATCTTTCTATCAACGACAATTTTTAAATTGCTGTTATTAAGTTCAATTTCAAAATAATTTTCTGCATATGAAAAGATAATACAACCCATTCAGCTCTAACTCAAGTCAGGGGGAATTTTCCTACCGGTGAGTCAGCCAGCAGAGCTGAATACTAAATCTCCAGTTAGGGAGGATTCGATTCCTCTCATATTTTAGTAGAATTCTGCGTAGAGTGTATGCAGGATAGAGATGGGATTCTTCACTGTGAGGGTGGTGGAGCACTGGAACAGGTTGCCCAGGGAGGTGGTTGAGGCCCCTTCCCTGGAGATATTCAAGGTGAGGCCCGACAAGGCCCTGGGCAACCTGGTCTAGTTGGGGGTGTCCCTGCTGACTGCGGGGAGGTTGGACTAGATGGCCTTTGGAGGTCCCTTCCGGCCTGGATAATTCTATGATACCTCTTTTGACAGCCACCACACAGTGACCCAAAATTCACAGGCCAGGAAGACAAAGGCCACAAGTGACTCGAAGCTTCCCCTCAGCCAGGGCTGACTGAAGACCAGAGAGGTTCCCAGACCAGCTCTGAATTAAGGCTAAGGCACAGCAGACTCTCCAGACTCTCCAGCTTCTGCCCAACACTCTATGTCTTCTAAAATCATGTTATGTCTTCTAAAATACTGCACTGCGTTCATCTGCTCTTGAGGAACATATTTAGTCACGAGTGATTCTAAATTGCTGCAAGGAACAAGACGTTTTGCTTTGAGAATCCCCAAAATTCTGGTATAAACACAAGTTACCTTGGCTCCATCTAGATATATTATCTGCATCTTCCCCGTCACCACCCCACCCAGTAATTCCCAGTACATCCGTCCTTTACTTGCATCATCGCCGGGTCCCAAGCCCACCCCGATTCCACCTCAAGCCAGGCCAGAACCCTGGAATCCCTTCTCCAAGGGATTGTCCACATCAACAACGTAGCCCAGCAGCTTCTCTGATGGCCCAGCTCCCGAAGCTCTCCACACAGGATGACAGTGCTACCAACGCTTTCAGGATGGTCCCTCAGTCAGCCTTCCCACCCCACACTGATGGAGAGGCTACCAGAGCATCACTACACAAGTCCATATGGGCTCAGCACCACTTCTGATCCCATTACCTTCCAGCCTGGTAGGAATGTTGTTTTTGCTCAAATGACCTTCATCAAAAAACCTGCAGTTTGGCCAGGTTGGGAAAGAAACAGTGGACAAACAGCAGGTAAAGCACGTACTTGCAACATGGAGGAAATCATTTTAGCAGAGTCTTTAGAGAAGGGTTGCTGCCATCCCACACAGATGCTTCTATAACTCAACGTGTGGCTACTTGGGAAGAGATGAAGGGTTTTTTTGCACCTGAATAAAAAACCCTGAAACTGGCTCCGGTTCAACCCTGGGCAAGATAGAGACCAGAGGTCTTCTCCTGAGCAGCAGAACCCATTCCTCCCCAACCAACCTGTGACAATCATCACTGTGCACTGTCTAATAACCAACCAACCCAAATACTCAAGTCACTGAAGGAGATAATTCAGGAAAACCTCCAACTGTGGTACCTAAAGCTTCCATACTTCAGGAGGTCCAATGCAAGCTCCTGTATAGCTTGGGACTCCTGGACCAGCCCTAATACTGGAGATACTTCAGGGGCATAACCCAGAGCTGTACTCAGCAGCCCTTGGGAAGAGTTTACCCCACTGAAGAAAATTCTCCAAAAACCACTAGCAACTATGCTTGGCCCATAACTTTAAAAGCCTCCGAAATAACAAAACTCATTTATTCCCACTTCCTTTCCCCTCAGCATCAGCGAGCTACGTCTCAACGAACAAGCAAGAAACCTCAGAGCCCATAAGCACACTCTTAGCACCTGTATCTTTGCCAGCAAACTTGGAAGGGGCACATACAGACATTCAAAAATGTTTTCTGCTCATCTCCACCATCAGCGCATCCATCCCACAAGCCCTAATTATTTCTAATGCTCAGTCAAGGGGAACACAAAACCACACAGATCTATATCATCATTAACTTCCATGCCTTCAGGGTAGGATAAATGATGATTAAGTCTAAAGTCATACCACAGCCTTTTTTTTTTTTTCTTTTTCCTTTTTTAATACAGAATAATGGCCCGGGGAATTTGCATACACTCTTGTTCTCAGACAGGCTAGTTACTACGGGTGAGCAATCAAGTTAGAATGAAACCAGAAGTGATCTAAACCTTTGCTCTCCACTCTACCTGGCGAATTAATAGTGGGTTTTTTTTTTCACTCAGGGATCTCTGACAGGGAGATCTGATACAGCTTTTTATGCAAATGTCCCCATCACATTCATACAGGCAGCATTTAAGGAGCTTCACTATGGCTACGCAGGGACTGTGGCTGGAAGGAAGCACAAGAAACGCCAGGGCTGGTGGGATTTGAGGTGGACCTGAACCAACACTGGTGCCCACACAGCAGAACACTCCATCTGACACCTCAAACAGTGCCGTGCAGCAGCAGTAGTTTGCCCAAGAGAGAGCAGGACAGGTCTGTCCCTTTGGTATGACAGCTGAAATAGAAGGCACCGATTCACGGATTATTTTTCTTCTGGTCACACCACTGGAGAGAGATGGCTCCGCTGGCTCTGGTCTGGAGCAGCTGGAGCAGCTTCATTTTCTTCACTCCAAATTCAAATGGAAAAAAAAAAAAAAAAACCAAGCTGAGAAAATAAAATTCCCCAACCAAAGGGCTAAAAAACTGAGCACTTCTGGTCCTATGAGCCATACGACCTCCTGCCATTTCAGCATCAAAGGATCATGGAATCACAGAATTGTCAGAGTTGGAAGGGACCTTCTAGAGATCCTCCAGTCCAACTCCCC